GTCGTCTGCGTCGTCGTCGTCGTCGTCGTCGTCGTCGTCGTCGTCGTCGTCGCCATCGCTGTTGCCGCTGTTCAGGACAAAACATCTTCCAACGGAGTTTTCTTACCTCCTTGTCGGGAGCTGAAGGCACCGGTGCTTCCAGCGATGATTAGAAGCAGCAGCGAGCTTAATAAAGCTCTCGAGGAAGGCAGCATCTTTCCTGTACTCCTACCGGCGCCTGCGCGACACAGGGTCCTTTAACCGGCTTCCCTCATCACAGCCTCCCTGGAAAAAGAGAAAAGATAGGGGAAGATGAATGATAAGAAATTGTCGACGAGAATTGGTCGGACGACTCGTTGCGTCGTTTAAGTCGATCCCATGTATATCTACTGAAAAATCAAACAATAACGATGTAAAGATTTCGCCAAGAGTTAAGACAGATAATTCGATGTACCGATAAACGATATTAAGATGACAATCGCATATGTAATTGCAAATTAGATTAGATATTCCTGATTACGGTTACTACTGGAGTAGATTAAATGATAAATATTTGATACTCTCTAACTCATGGTCATAATCATGGTTCTAAAACCATTACCTCTTGATTTTGTTACGAAGCATCGAGCGAAATGCATGTCGGATGGTTCTAAAAGCTGCGATTTCGAAAATGAGATCCTATTTTATTCAAACACCGGTCGATACCATCGACGAATTTATCAAGCTTCTGTGTGTTGATTAAATCTTAAATTGAATAAAATAGAACGCCAATATCGTTCTCGGTTTAATTTCATTTCCAAATAAAAGATGCTATCTTTAGTTTATTTTGCACGCGTTCTTATTTCGCTGCGCAACCAATCCAAACTATTTTACTCTAATGGGATTGTAATTGTTCTTCGATCGAACCCACAATGACAACTATGTATCTACAGGTACATCATAGCCATTTGCCTGCTAATGGAAGCGAGTTATCGAAACAAATTTCAGTGCATTATGCGCCGTGCTTTCTCGACGCCGACAAAGCGAAAGTTAACCCTTTGTGCCGTTCGTCAATTGCAATTATCCGCGCTGCAAGGTGATTACCCGTGTAATTCTTTTTCAGCCGGCGATATCCTACGGGCGAGACGGCCAGCTCTTTTTCTTCGCTTTTCGCGCCGATCCGCCGAGTTAATGAGGCCGGAACATTTAATCCGGCGTTCATTAAGGCATCAAAATTTGTTATCTCGGTCGCGCTGCAGAATAAAGCATCCCGCTTTTACCTGCGTATCGTTGGAAGATCCCGGCAATCGTCGCCAATAAATGAATCGTTTCGTCTCTTTGAACGCGGACCATTCGTACCATAGATCTACCTCACGTGTTATCTGTCATAGAACTTCCGGTCTCCCCAACACAGCCCGAAAAAGAATTAAAGGATATGTCATTTAGAAGTTAAGGGTTTCACTACAACTAACTACTAAATCTACTAAACTACTAAATCACTACAACTAACTCCAATTAACGATTCATATGATACGGCGATATAATACAGCGACGATAAATCGATCACGTTGAAGTTGGAAATGGTGCAATAATAAAATATAAAGTTCCTACGATCTGACATAAAAGTTCACGCTTCGCTCGAGCATTCGCCGTTCATTCTCTTTCCCTTCGGCACCGAATGTTAACTCTTGCTAGACGACCGATTCGCCACGCGGTGATTTGCATATTAATTAAATAGCAATTAACTCGGAATATTCGTTGGTTGTTTGTTATATTTCGACGACGAGTAATCGTCTGTCGCAATTTCTCCGTTATTATCGTCATTCGAATTAAAATATAATAAAGTTCTGTTTCGATCAACGATTGCGATCGTTTATTTCGCGTAATGAACATTACTCCATAAATTACGTAGCATTTCACGCAAATTTCAATGGCAAACCGTTCTCGCAATCCTCAATACCATTTCTCGTGATTCCCCACGACGACGATACTCCGCAGATTTTTCACCAGTTACCTTTCCCTTGTATTCGTCACGGCCTCGACCTGCCTCGATCTTGGTCGGGGATCGGGTATTTTTAACTCATCATTAGGGGTCATTAAGCTCCAGCAACGGGGAGAAACGTCGACAGTGACCCTCCGAGCCAATTGCGGCTTCGTCGCTGTTAAAATTAAAATGTCGACCTTAACGACGCCGGTTACGAAGGAAGGAAGCTTGCGTGTCTGTTACTAAAAGACCGCGTAAAAAGGAAATTCGTAAATATCAAAAGCATAAGTGCGTGAAACCGACAATAGGAATAAATGTTACGTACTTACGGTCAAATTTATTCTATTAGTCGGACATTAGATATCGATAAAAGTAGATGATAATAATACGATAGAACGATAATGATGTAATAATAAAAAAAAAAAAACATCATAATAGCGATTGTACAGCGTCTGTACGATGAGCTGAAACGAAGGAAGGAAGCGACGCAGCAGACAACGCGATGCCGTGCTACGAACGATGTATTATCAGAAGAATCAGCTGCTTCGAATAATTCCGATTCATCATAGTAGCGATAGTATCGAAGATTTAGAAACCTCTCCGATGGAATTTTGGAATTTTCTATTTAATCTTTTAGCACGACGAATAAAGGGGTTTTACACTCACGTTGTACCGTAAGTCCGCACTAAACAACGCTCGAAACTTCCTCGTGTAAAACTCATTCATACAAATATAACGGGCAATTGTTTGAAAAAGGAGAAGAAAACGGTCCACGATTACCTGACCCTAATTTCGCGAGCCACTCGTCGTCCCTCCATCGACGAACGTTGTACGCGCCTGGAGAAACCAGGTCCATCGTAATCTCGAGAGTCCACGAGACAGATCAAGCGTCGTCGGGCGTCGGTGTTTGCTCCAACTTATTTATTTTTCCGCGGAAGACAGAGCTTGGCCGGGAAGCGTAGCTCGCTCGACACTGCAGAAAGCGGAAAGAGAAGAAGAGAGTTGGCCCCGAGGGCGCGTTGGATTTCCATTATGCTAAACCGCAAATGGAGTCCTGCGATCGAGTGTCTCTCTGTGCCACCCCTGGAGGCGCACAAAGCCGCTGGAATAAGGCTCCTAAGGTGTAATGTTACCGAGAAATTAAATTCTCTCGTTCTCTGCGACCGCCTTCACCACCGACTCACCCCATCGTCCGATTCCTGCCTCTCTTTTTCCTTGCCTCTCGCTACAGGCTGTTTCACGGACCGTCCAGGGATTCCTCGAGCCAAAACACTGTTTTTCCAACCAGCCCTTCCTCTGTTTCCTCTCGCTCGTTGTTACGACCGTTCGCGGAAAGACGCGGTCGCGAGGAAAACGCGTCAGCGAGACGCGTGAATTCTCGCTACGATTCTGATAATCGACGCCGCGAATTAGTCGTTCCCCTGTTTCGATTAAGATAACAGCGGTAGTTCAAACGAGTTTAACACTGAATTGACAGGGTCAATGTAAACTTGTATATTTAAAGATATTTAATATTGCCACGAAAACGTCACAAATGATTTAACACGACGAGTACAATTAGTTTGTTGCAATAATTCGACCCGACTTTATCGTATCTCTCGATGTATTCGTTAGACTAAGCGACTTTAATTTTATTCGTCGGAATCTCTCGACGCGTTCCGCTCGAATCCTCAAATGATACTGATTGTCCCTTCGATTTTTTCTTCTGTCTTCTCTGGGAGACGACCCCACCACGCTCGGGTCACGCAACCGTTCGCGCCTATGATCACGTATGCCAGCTTCTTTGTGTAGATAAAATAACGGACCGAAGGCGAATCGACGTTTCTAGAACTCGCTGCTTGACGACAACTATGCCGCTATGTCGCTACATTGTATACATTTGGCCGATCCCATAACACGATCTGTCTGCGACACTGTAGTACCGCGAGCGACGATTAGCCTCGTGGCGTAACACTCGTTGCTAGTCGTAAATACGGATGTGGCGGATCGGTATCGATAGGATGGCGACAGGTTGAGGTATCGATAGGACGGCGACAGGTCCCGGGCGATCCAGGGGGAGGCTGGTGGTCGTGGGCCTTATTTTTCCGATCGAACTGATTCTTCTCTTCGTTGCCCATCGATATCCCCACTAGCGTGCGTTCATTAGATGTGCCGCCGCGGCTGGCGCGTGTATGCTCTTCCGAGAAATTCGGCGGAAGGAGCGTGAAGATATAGATGACAGATCGACAGTACGTCGTGTTGCGCTTTAACGGCGTAGCGCTTTGTATCACAGAGCCGTTGGAAAGTTCCATGGTCCGTGTCTCCACACGGATAAGACGTGCCACACAAAACTGGGAGAAACGTTCGATCGATTGTAATGGATTGTCAATCTCACATGCATTTTCGATTCTACATTAATTATTAGATGGCCACAGCTACTGATCGTGTCACGTGATAAAGTGGAGCAAGCGCATATGGCAAAATTTCGTTCATATGAATCTGTCAAGAGACAAGAGTAGTGCATATAGGAAGAATTTACCGTTTTTTTCCTACTACCTATCATTTTTTTCATATGATACATAGATCGTGGATTTTTATGAAAATTTACATTTTTATGCAAGCAAGCGAAGATACGGAATCTGAATAGAGATTCGCCTCGTTCTTTGGATATCATTACGAGTATCTTACTTGGAAAATGTTGCGTATGTCGGTAGATCATGTGCGATCTACACGTATTGCACATGTAAATTTTCCGTAAGTGCATAAACATTCGCAGGGTAACAATAGTAGTCGACGTTCAGATAAATGATAAATGAACCCAGTTATTAAGAATTCATTTAATAGGATATATAAAGAGTGAAATTTTGCTTAAAAAAAATTAACTTCTTATAAACGCGAGTCCCCCTAGCCTTCTTCCCAATTATAGCGTAATATCTAAGAGCAATAGAGAGCACATTCGAGGGTGGAAAATCATCTTGGAAAAATTTCTTTCCATAAACTACCTAACAGCGAACCTGCAAACAGTACCAGTCCTATTGAACGAGCTGTACGTTGCTCTCTTCCTCCGGCTTTCTTGTCACGGCACAAATGAACCCGCAGCACCGTGTCGCCGGCGTGCGCCGCTATCTGCACACGTATGCGAACAAAAGGATTCGCCTGACATTTGAGCTTTTTGCCGAGGAGCACGTCCTCGACGATGATTTTCTCAGGTTTTCTTCGCGTGAGCCAGGCCTTCCAGTCGTCACGGTGAATTACGGTGAAGAGCTCCTGGTGAATTTTGATCGCAGCCAAAGACGCTCGAGACCTCGCTGCTCCCTTGGCGACGCTCGTCTCGCCGGAAACG